AGTGCACCAATTCGTCGGCCTTGCCTGCCATCGCACACCAGAACTCGAACAACACTTGTGGCACGACAGGGAGTGTTTTTGTCGCATTTGACCCCCGTGAGGTAGTGTTTCGACCTCTCTCTTCGACGTTGTTTTCGAGTGTGCACGTACCCCACACAGCTACAGGGAGTGTTACCCCACACAGCTGGTGCAACTCGCCAGTGCATCGAGAGTGCACCAATTCGTCGGCCTTGCCTGCCATCGCACACCAGAACTCGATGAAAGAATTAGTATTCCTTGATTGTTTATATTTTCTGCGAAATATCAACGATAACAGTACTATTGATTGTACCTCGAAGTATGTTGTTAGAGTCTTTTTTTATATTATAAAGGTTTTGTTGTCACATATCAGAGGTTATATTTGACAAAACTGCTACCGGACAGGGCTGGGGAAATTATTTAGATTAATTTTAGCTGGTCAATATATAATTTCAATATGTTGTCGTTCGGAAGAACAATTCATAATTTTATTGAAATTTGAACAACCGAAAATTCAATATTTCTGACTCGGAACAATTACTGTCCATACTTTCGATAATTCTGACCTAAACGATGATCAAAGTAACAAGCCAATACATTGACTCGTAGCATGTCGGTTTGACGATCAGGCGGTGGTGGATGGGCCCTAGGTTCAATTCCTGGGGTGTGCCAAGTTTTTCCGGAAAATGTATGTATTTTTAAGATGAATATTTTCAAACAAATGGTATACGTATACGTTTTAAGCTATTAATATTCGAACTCATCCAACTCGTCATCGTCACCCCCTTCAACCTCTTCGTCCAGACTTGTGTCGTCAGCACGGTGGCGAAGAAGTTTCGGTGCGCAGAGTTCACGTGCTGGGCAAGGTTTTGGTAGCCAGTCGACTTCCTGATGGTGATGTTTGTGGATGTCGCGCACCGGCGACACTTGAACCGAGTTACGATGCGGTGCTTGCGAGTTTTGGGGTCGCGGAAGACGATTCGTCGATCTTGTCGAAGAGTTTGGCGAGCTCCTACTAGTATGAGGTATAATGGCGATATGAATCATAGTAATGAGAAGGGAGAGGTTGAATACAATTAACTGTAAACAATTATTGGTCAATATGGTCCACCAATTTATTATTGGTGCTGGTGATCGAACTGACGAAAATAAAATATTGTTTTCAGCAAGCACAGAAAATATGTTATTGCAGTGGTACAATTACGATTAATTTAAATTAGAATTATTTTTTCCCCAGCCCAGCTAACCCGATACAGTTTGCATTACCAATCATCAGTACGAATATTCTTTTGTGCTTCAAAATATCTCAACAGAAAACAACTGACCAAAATGAAATGGTGAGGACTTGGAGTTTGTTCTGCTGGTGCAGCATGCGTGAGATCTTCGACACCTTCCTCACCGACCCTGTCCTGCTGAGCGAAGATGTGTTTGCCCTGTGGCTGGAAGGGCAGAACACATCCAGCGCGTTGGACATCCGCTTCCGGTCGTACGCCCACCCTCCTCCGATGTCGTCGACGCTGGACTTTAGCGATGGCACCAACGAAGTCGACCAGCTGCGCGACTTGATTTGGCGGGACACCGTGGACCAGTACCGTCTGTTTGAGAAGCTCGAGACGTACCTGATGCAGCCATTGCTGCTGCGAACGCAACTTCTCTTCCAGATCCCCCCGTGGCAGCAGCAAGACATGACCGAAAAGTACTACATGTTGGACGGCGCAGTGGTGCGGCGGCTGTTGGGCAAGAAGCTCACGTCCCGCGCACAGAAAGACTTGGACGAAGTGAGCGAGCATTCCCTCCGCACGTTGAAAAAGTCAGCTTCCCATTGAGTCTGGCGTCTCCCCATCGCAATCCGACCCCTTTTTGTTGTAGCTGCCGCCGCCAATTTGAAAACTTGCGGCGCATCTACACGTTCTTGGAAGAGAAAAACAACTTTCAAGTCAAATCCTCCATATTAGGACATTTCTAACGACACCAAGTAGGGCCCGCTGACGCGCCTCATCATGGACCAGTTTTTGATTTCCGAGAAATTGGCCGCCAAGTATGCTTGCGTCGTGTTCTTAATCCATGGGCGGTTCGAAGTGCACCCGTCGCACAAGGTCGTGGGCTTCTTGACATGGAACGACCTGCAGTTCTTCGCGGCGCTCCTCATGGGCCACTGGGTCGCGCCCTCCATCAAGCGACACCACTCCAAGCTCCAAGCCAAGGCGGCGGCGTCCGTGCTCACGGAGAGCTCGTCCCTGCTGTGCCTGCGCCGCCGACCCGACGCAGCGGCTTCGGCAACCAATGTACGCGGTGGGGTCCTACTAGTAATACTAAAATCGGCGGCGGCAGGATTTGGATCCGTGGCCATCGGTAGCCGTCCTCGAAGCCCGCGTCACCCCCCTAAGTGCCCGCGCATGCGTCGGCGTCGACTTGAACCAGCGCATGACCAATTCACTGCGAGATCTCAAAGCGCACTTTTTGAACGACGTTGAAACGTTGACAGAGTACCGCAACATGGTCATGGTACGTACGTAGCCTCTCCCTTGTTGGAAAATATACTTGTGCTACTGTATAGTACTTTGAAGTATTGTGCTTTCGAGTGAAATTTCATTGTGTTATGGTTTCTCGTTGGAATTTAAATCGATTTGATTGGCTACCTCCGATGAGCTCAACACTATTAGCCAATCAAAACCTTCTCAATGAAATTCAACAACCAATCAGATCGATTGTTTGATCGGCGCGATTCGATTGCACCCTCTCCCCAAATTTGTATCAAATCGACAATAGTAGATATATTATATACACACTATGTATGGTACGTATGCGGTATACTATGTGGTATACTATAAAGTATTTATTTACAAAGCTGAACATATGTGCATGTATACATATGTCATGTACTACTATTTATAGTAGATGCACATATTTACAAAGCTGAACATGCATGGATATATATATATATATGCTATGTATCGCGGCAATCGACGTGGCAAGCGCTTACATGGCGTTCAACTGGAGATATCACACATTCATACTATGACCGAGATATTTATCTAATATTACCAAGGATGATATATATGTTGTCATGATATTTATATCCGTGTATTTATGATAAAATATATGTTTCTAGTCGGTGTTGCAAGTGTCGTTACAAGGCGATCAACTGGAGCACTTGGGGTTGAAGATGCTCGTCATCGTGCGAGGGGTATGTACTATCACCAGAATCTAAATTCTGCAAAATGACGCAACTGTGAATATATTATACATATATATAGCTGTTGTCGATTGGAGCGGGATTGTCCCAGCCCAAGGAGCTCAAAGATTTGATCGAAGACCTCGTGGACGCAGCTGGGATCGTGTTCAAAGACTCGAAATTGCGTCTCACAGACATTGACGTGATTTTTTCCGCCCTGATCGAGTACGTATATTAATACTTATATATATTATGCAGATTCTATGAATATATACATATTTATGTTTTGCCATATAGTTCGCTGGGGGCAGTGGACGTGTGGTATTTAAACGCTGACGACACGCGACAGCTGTTGCTCGCGAGCTGGGAGTTGTTTTTGAGCGTCTGCCGTGCCATCCTCATTACCATTTACGACCGCATCTAGTATTACTACTAGTACTACTACTGCTACGACGGGCTGTTCCAAGGCTTGGCGACCACTGCTTGCTGTGACGCCGCCGCCGTGGCAGCGCTCAAGATCTTGTCCGTGTCACTCGACAGTTTGTCTTCGATCTCGCGGATGCCTGGAACCCTACGAAATCAATAATATATCCGAAATATCATGCCATGGACAAAAAATAACATATAAAAAAATATCTCGCCTTACGTGTCTCCGTTTTGGACCATCTTGGCAACTTCACTGAATGTCGGCGGGAATGTCGGTGCTGTTGTGGCTTCTCCCTCTACAACTAGTGTAAACATATAATGGTACAGGACATATATATATATATATATATATATACTGTATATATATATATATTGAAAGTCGATTCAAAATTGTCGTGCTAAATCGTATGAGCAGAGCACCAAATCCACAGACAATCGATCGTCCAATCAAAACCCAGAACAGAATCTAGTAGTAGCCAATCAAATCCACTCGTCGACCACGTCAACATCGAATCAGTGTGTGAATGAAATTCACACTGGTAACATACAAAAGATCGATAGATTTGGCAAAGAATCAGCACAAAAGTCAACCAAATTTTACATGTAAATGGGGGCAATACCAGTCGTGGGTTCAACGTCGACTTTGGGCTTCAACTTGTCCAAGAACGACGCGAGATTGTTGTGCTCGGCGGGTACCACCGTCTGCACCTCTTGGTCGGATGATGCGGTCGGCGGGGCTTCCCTGGACGACTGCAGATGGCGCCGCGCACTGTCCACCAGCGAACACGACGTCGCGGCATGTTCAAATGCGTGAATTGCCGCCTTCAAGATGGCCACGTGCGTGTTGTATACAGGGGCGGCGTGCCACTTCCACTCCAAGTAGTTGGTGCCCGCTTTGTCAAAGCCAATGCTCGAGAGCAGCGCGTCGTAGTGCTACGCATACATGTATGTAGTATATATACACGGATTTTATCACATTCGAATATAAACACTACGAGGAGTGAGTACCTACCACAAGAGGTTCGATTTTGAGCTTAAAGTTGGCATTTCCAATCGCAATGCGTCGGTAGCGCGGTACGCCGGGGTGCTACACAGCATATATATATTATAAAAAATATATATCATGTTTTCATTGACTTGATATATCAAAATCAAATCCACAATACCTCCACCAGGTTCTTTGTGTACATGACCAGCACCGCGGCAGCATGTTGAATCACCTCGGTCGAGTTCTAATACATACACATTCGAATTGTGAGCCAAATATGTCCATCAATCTCTTCAGTCAGTCGTTGCTTCACTTACATCTGCCTCCACCAGACGAAGCGCTTCTAAGAACGTATGCACTTGGGCTTGAAAGGCTTCTTCAGTGCTCTTCCCATGAGCAACTTCAGCGAGTTTGCCGTCGGGGGGGGCTGGATGACCTGTGGACGTCTCTGGAGCTTTCGGGTTGATGGAGTCGTCATCGCCGGTTGCCAACTTTAACTTTAGCGCTGCGATTTCCGCGTGAAGCCTGGCAATCTCACGAGCGTGCTCGAGTTGCTCGACGGACTGCATGCGCCGAGACTTGGTTTCTTCTTGCAGGAGATGGACAACTTTGCGAAGTTCTTCAGTTTGGGTGTCCAGGGCGACCTGCAGCGGCGACTTGGCAGGTACCCCTACGCGACTAAGGACCCCGTGGTGGCGCAGTGTATGGTTGTACCTTGATGGTCCAAGTCCCTGCTGCTTCCAGAACCTGTCGCAGTGTCGTCGTCGTTTCGCAAGAATCGCCAAAGAACCCCCATTAACGTGGCAGCACTGATTGCTGGAAACAAGATCGACCACGCGAGCGATGTCAGCGATTGGGCTGGTTCAGCGACCGCCAAAGGCATCGCTTGCTGGTGCTTCTCTATGGCGGCATTGATCTCCGCCCTACTCAAGCCTTTCTTCTCCAAGAAAGCAAGGCGCTCCGACAAGGGCGTCGCCTTCGGAATCGCCGCATGGTGAGATACATGCTGCCCTGCAAGCAGTATTACCTGCACATCTGGATGCCCCAAGAAGCGGACGCCGCTGTTGATCTTCTCCACGTCCAAGGACGACGGTGTCGTGCCTTCAGTTTCCTCGGCCATCGCCTTCCACTTTGTTGCGGATAAGTAAACACAATTATGTCGCTCCTAATATCTGTCTATTTACCCAAGATCAATAATTTGAACGGTAAACTCTTACTCTACGAGCAGCATCATGCAAGCGGGTTTTGGCGGCGTGTATGAGTACATATGCTCGTATGTTCCTACGCCAGTGTTAGAAGTGAATATGGTCCAAGCCTCCCGTTTGAGACTATGACTTGCGTGGGATATATATATATATATATATATATATATATATAACGTGACCGATCAGTGATCCGCCAAATTTTTTTATCCAATAACATGGTTTCTCGAATTGTATTGGACAAAACAAAACCTCTTACAAACATTGACCTCGTGAGAAATTATGCACGAATTGTCCAACACTCCAACCTGTCAATACTTCAAAAGTTCATACATTTCTAAAACTAATATACCTTTATCATATTATATTTTCAGCTAAAGATTTTGGATTTTGTTAAACTGAATTCAATACTCACTTCAAGTATATATTTTGGCGGATCACTGATCGACTGTGTAAATAGCTCAACTTTCTAAAATAATTGGAGAAACATGAACTGTCAGATCCGATCGATTTTGAATCCTTGTGAAAGCACTTGAAATTGGCTATCAGAATGTGTGTCCATCTTTGTTCTAACGTGATCGACCATTGATCAGCCAAATTTTCAAAATTTTCAAACTAAAATATCTCAATTGGTTTTCATGGCATTTCATTGAAACCAACATTTCCGGAAAGCTGACGGAAAGCTCTTTCGCGGCATATTCAAATGTATCGATTTAAACAATACTTGGCAGGCCAAAAAAATGTCAAAGTTCGGCACTTTACACAGTCGATCATTGATCGGCCAAAATTTACACTTGAATTAAGTATTGAAAAAAGTTGGGTCGATCACGTTAGCACAAATAGCCACTGAGTAATTCAAGAAGGAAGAAATCCAAATTTTGGCGGATCACTGATCGGTCACGTTACATAGCCTTGTTCGTTGGTAAGATGGGGATAGATATCCTTGACGGCCGATGCACCGTACGGGTCGCCAACCCGTTTGATCAGCCACCGATCGATTTGCCGACGGTTCAAATACATATAATACTCGAAGTATAGTGCAAGACACTGACGCATAGCTCCAACACGAGCCAAGACGACGAATATGATTGGCACGTATGCATATCGTCCGAGTTGCGGCGTCGGGGACTGGGACACATATCGCTCACATATAGGAAACTGATCCAACGCGCAAACAGTCAACCAACTACAAGGTCACCGATACATTCTGGTCGCTGGAGATGTCCACTGTACCCACTTCCTTCTGACTTCTGCCAACGCGAAGCCACGAGGGCATGTGCAGCGTCGTCCGGTAAACGCAGCAGAATGTCGACAGTAGAGACGACACAACGCATTTGCCAAGGGGAGGGTTGCTCTTTCTCAGAGGTCCTTGGCGTGGCCCTGACCGCAAGAGGAGACTCCCGTGGACTTCGCCGGACTTGGTGAATTCCGCGTTGTCGTTCTGGTGGTACTGGGAGAATCTTCACGGTCATAACGAAGTGGTCACCTATGCTTATCCAATACTAGTTTGACTTTGGCACTTTCGCTTGCCCTCCATCCGAGTACAAGTTTAGTAAACTTGTACTCGTAGCCAATCTGTGCTACTGTTAAAGCAGGCGGCTGTCAAAACACTTTGTGTTATGCCCATGCTGCTGTAGAAGGACTCAGTCCCGAGTAGAGTGGACCGAGCCCAGAATCCACCGTTCCATGATGTTGCCCCCATGCATATCCAACAATTCGCTTCACGTTGCTAGCATGAGCCGCCATAATAGCCGTCCGAATCGGAGGGCTATTATGGTTGCTAGTTAGTCTGCTTGATTGGTTGACCCAATGACCATGAGTTTACCACGCATACAGAATACAAAGACACCCCATAGCGATTCATTCTGCACTGATCGGAGGGCTATTATGGTGGCTCATGCTAGCAACGTGAAGCGAATTGTTGGATATGCATGGGGGCAACATCATGGAACGGTGGATTCTGGGCTCGTTCCACTCTACTCGGGACTGGGTCCTTCTACAGCAGCATGGGCATAACACAAAGTGTTTTGACAGCCGCCTGCTTTAACGGTAGCACAGATTGGCTACGAGTACAAGTACAGTATGCTGGCCACCTTGCCCTCCATCCACGCAAGCGAAAGTGCCAACGTCAAACTAGTATTGGATACTGTAATCACAGGTGACCATTATATTAGTATTGGATAATCACAGGTGACCAATTCGTTATGATTGCGAGCGTCGTCTTTGCCCATCATGACGATAGGTACATGTAGAGTACCTATCTACCCAGCTGTCCCAAACAATCTGGACGACACTGTCCTGGTGGCTATGTTCTTCATGGACGTCATCAATGCCGACTGTTTGTCGGACTCAACCATAGCACTTGCACGCGTATGAGAGTTGACTTGGACAAGGGGACTTTCAGTACCCACTCTCGACTGTAGCAGCACTAGGCCGCAATCGATAGCCAGAGCAAGCTATCAGATATGACGCCGTACAAGAATGCTTGGTAGCTACAGGACATGAAATGGCTGGGTTTGAATGTAGATGAGTGACACTCTGGGCTTCCAAATGTGCATTTTGGCTCGAGGATTTGGTGGTTAAGTGGAATACTCTGATGAGGCTACTATTTTATGAGGTCGTGGGGATGGCTGAGGTTGTACGCGAGCCAGTACCACTTGCCATAGTCGACGTAGATCTCGTCTCCGATGTGAATATAACGCGTGGCACGAACGTTGGCTTTCTGGAGCAGTGGCAACTTTTCAAACTCGACGTTGTGGACACCTCGACTTCGGCAGTCGTTGATGTATCTGGCTTTCACACCAATACAGGTCCGTGCATCAATGTACACGCCGCCTCCAAGCCGCATCAAGTACGACTTGTCCGCGACCTTCAACGCGTCTGCTGTCGCAAGGACCTGGCCTCTGTATACGCAGACCACGTCGCCTGCATTGAACGTCGTGGTGGCAAACAGCCCAAGGCCAGCGTTGGGCAAGCGCGACATCTTTACTTCCACTCCACCTCCGTTGCTGTCCTCAACGCTCTCGCGATCTCGTCTCGCCTGGCAGTCCAATTCATGCCGCAGGACGTAATACTCGAACGCGGTGGTCATGTTCAAATGTCAATTGTCCGGATAAATGCCATATATTTCGGATAATTTCTCCTTGATGACACAAGTACCTCTGCGGCGCGGACGGAACGTGATACATTGCTAGGATATTCTCCGGAGTAGTAGTTTACAACTAGTGTGTGTAAAGAGTATTAGTTTTGGCTACTACTACTTCCATGTTCTTGGACCAACTTGGCGACCATGGCTTCGCACTGGGCGGGGGTAAGGCCTTCGGAGTTGAGGATAGCATTTGCCACGAGGATCGTGTCTTGGCTGGACTTTGAATTCAGCCACACGACGCCGTTCACCCCCACCGCGAGCTCAAATGGAATGGCGCGGCCCAATGATTCCAACACGGCGCACTCGTCTTGCACCAAACTACCAAAAACGAATCAACAATATACTCATTTAAGCGTCTACGTTTGACTTTTGACATGTCTATACCTTTTCGCGAGACCGATCGATGCCTTGAACACATATCCGCCCGTAAGTTCGCCGTAAATAGCCAGCCCCGTCATCCAGTCCTTCTTGGCCAAATGAGTGGGAGCTACCGTCGGCCGGCGTGAGGGACTGTCCTGTCGACCATTCAACGGACGTACCTTCGCAAGTCACACATGCGTCGAGATCCTTTGCCGCTCGCACCACTCTGCAATACACTAACGACCCAGGTTGCATGTTGGGACGGTTGCGTTTGCTGGCGCCGTCAAACGCGAGCATACCCAACGTGGCGAACGAGCTACATCGATATGTCAGGGCATGGGGTTCGTTCTCTAGGAAGACGGAGATACGCACGAGCCACCAATGTCGACGCGGTAGAACTCGGCGTTCCTGTCTACGACCATGCCAACGACGCCGTCGTCCAACGCAGGCGTGTACTAATGACATACAGGATAAGACGATCGTTTGAGCTATAGAACGTGTACACGTACGCGCTTGTGGTTAAAGTCGAGCCAGTACCGGTTCGGTGGTCGGTAGCGCAGAACCCCGGCGTTGGTACACACGACTCGGTTGTCAGTGGTCGCAACTAGACCTGCACCAAGGCGGAGCTTTTGCGTGACGTTAGTGATGTGCTGGGTGATGTCGTCGCCTGGAAGGCATGTGCGCGTCTTGAATGCCAGGTCGATGCTCTTCTCGGCCGTGAGGAGGAACTCTTCCGCCATGATGTTGTCGAGTTGGCACTGTTGCCAGATGTGGGTGGTGGGAACATCCGGAAAAAGTCGCTCCGATTATCCGGATGCCACTGATTGGGCAGGAAGCGTGGTGCATTTGAACAAGCAGCAGCGGCGAACGATGAAGCCTATCTTTGGGAAGATTGTGAGCGATAAGATGCAGAAGAGCGTCCTCGTCGCCGTCACACGCATCGTGAAGGACCCGACGTACGGCAAGTACTACAAGAAGACAAAGAAGTTCATGGCCCATGACGAAGAGAACACGTGCAACATTGGCGACATGGTGCGCATCAGTCAAACGCGTCCGTTGAGCAAGCGAAAGCGCTGGAATGTTGAGGAGATCTTGAAGAAGGCTGAAATTTAAGGCATCATCCCTATTCATTGTCCATAGCAACATGCATGCGCGTGGAGCAAGTGCATACACTAACGAGAAATCCGTCGTCGCGTCCATGCTAACGTTATGGGTAGTTGATATCACAACATTAGACTCCATAGAGGGGATCCTTTCATGCCAACCACCTTCACAGAGAAACCAGAGTCATGTTGTCAAGTCTCATCGATCTAGAACTCGTCATCTTCGTCCGAGAGGAGTTCGTCCTGCGGTGGGAAGTCGCCGACTTGAACATTGGGAGGTCGAATGAAACCCCCAAACTTGTCGAGGCAGTCGTAATACCGCGTGCCTTTGACACACCCGTTGCCTTTGCCCACAGGTTCATCAAAGACAACGCCGACCCAGTACCCTTCCACTTCCGATGACGCCAACTCGGGCACAACGCCGACGTACGCGACACGACCACGGCGTCCGCCTGGCGTGACTTCGCAGCGCATGCCCACGTCGATACCTTCCACCGTCTCGGGACCGTAGTCCTTCTTGATGCCGCGCAATCCCGCGCCCATGAGGACAGGCGGTTTCCAGTTGGGATCTTTCGCGATTTGCTCCCGCTTGTAGTTGCGCACCGTGTTCGCGCCTATGAATTGCACGATGGTTAACCACGGAGTTCAAGAACGAACAGTCCATACGCTTGTCGTAGTCTTCTTCGCTGATTTCGTACTTCTTGATCAACGACACGTCTTCGAGTCCGCCGCCTTTCGCAAGCGAGAACGGATCGTTGTCTACGACGTGGATCGTCATCCCGTGCTGGACGGGGTAGTACCCGAGCATGCGCCTCTCGTCGTCCATGATCCCGATAACCGTAGACCCACTCTTCAAGACGAGCGTCATGTAATCGGGCTTTGTACCGCAATGCCGGTACACTTTTTCCTTCACTTCGGCCAGCGTCATGTGCATGTCCAAGCGAATGTCCACGATCGTCGCGCGAAGGTTCGAGTGGGTGATGTGAAGACACACCAAGCCATCGGCCACTTCTGTATACTCGTATCCGTCCTTGGCCGTGATGTAGTTCCTCAGTTCCCGCATATCCTGTGCCATCTTCACCCTTCCTCGGGTGAACCTTCCACTAAAATTTCGCGCGATTTGGTTCACGATGCATTAAATTAGTTTCTAGACAATTCGCTTACATTATGTATTCAACTTGAGATTTGCTATTTAATTATTGACCTGAAAGCGCCATCGATTAACCGGATATTTATCCGGAAAGATTGACCCCTGGTTGTCGGTTTCGTTTTCTAATTGTGTTCTCTTGATTCATTTGCCTTTCGCATTATCAAGCAACCTCAGAACGCATCGCCATTTGCGTGTAGAGCTGACATGCGTGGCAACCTCTTCTTGTGGATCACATCCTCGCTATGTGCGTATGTCGCCCATGCCACCAGTACGTCCGGGTTTTGTAACGACCGCAATGCAACCACCCCCGTCGTGAAAGGCGACCAAACGTACATCTGCATCAACATCAACGACCAATACCGCGCTGTGTTTGCTCCTGTCGTGGACCAATACGTTCAGCTGCGGTTGTATGAATGTATGACTACTTGATGCTGCTCGGTGGTGGTGACGACCTGAACCAACCCCTTTGCTTGTAGCGTACACCGATACCCGGATCCGTCCGACCAATTCGTCTGCCGCCGCGTACATGACCATCTCCAGCATGTCGTCTCGATCTGTGTACAAGCAGTACACGACCGCCAAGGGGAAAGCATACCCGATTCTCACCGCCGTTGTGTCGGTCAAGCAGGGCGAGGTTTGTTGGTTCTGTCGTGATCGTAACTATTTACGCTTCTGGGGACTGGTAGGTGCAAGGCATTTCGTGGGATGATGGATGCTATCTCTGCGATTCCACGACATGTGAGGCGAACTTGTATTCAACGCCGGCGATTCCGTTGTACAATTCGGCCTTCGGCGATGGCAGCACATGCTACAAGGAGTCTCCAGAGTGCCTCAACACCACTGGACTGTGCGACCTTGCGGTAGTACCTCGTGCTGAATGCATGAATGGAATGATTGATTGATGGTGTGTGTTGCCATCAGGTATATGTCGGATGGACGGGCACCGATGCCAACGGGAATTACCTCAGCAGCGCCGGCATGCGCATTTCGCAGTTCCAAAAGTACTCTGTGAATTCGTACTTTACCGATTTCAAGACCAAACTGTCATCGCTGTTGCCTCGGTTGTAGGCATGTCAATAAGAGAGAAACCAAAACGAGAGTAGTTCTTGTGTCATCAAGTGTTGGTAGTGCATTTGTGTTTGCGGCAGCGTCATCGACAGCATCGCGGAAGACTAGACGTTGGACTTGTCGACAATCGTACACAGTTTTTCGTCATCGATATTTCGCGGCATCAAGCGCATCTCATCCTACAAGCACATTATTATGACGCTCCTTGTGGAGAATGATTCCGCCAATGTCGGCGTGCGCACCCGGTACAGTGGCTTTGTGTAAGATACATCGTCCGTAGCAGTGTCGACTTGGAAAGTCCGGCCGTTGCGCTCCGAATACTTGCGATAACCCACGCCGCACCATCTTCCATCGCCGTGGCTTCAACACTCACGCGTTCAGCTCGCAGCCGCCGAAGCCATGACTGATGTACGCCCCTGACATGCTTGCCATGCCAGCTTTACAGCGATGAACGCGATATTTCTTCGACGGACACATCCTTCGTACGACCCCTACCCCTATGTAGCCAACCAATGGCATCGATTGATAGTCGTAGCCCGTCGCTGATTCGTCAACTTGTCGGCTGGCGTTTGTGGCTGTATGAATTGGCATTATTTTCGGCACTTTATGGAATGGTGTATGTGAAATTCGCCACTGATACGTTTCAGAATGGTAATTAAAAAACCATTTCTTCCAAAATTTCACGTTTTATGATGCGTTGACAAAGTATACCCTTCCGGTAAAGTAGGCAGCGTCGCCACCACCGCTCCTTGATGCAGTCACTTTCATTTTCGAGTCCCAGAACCCACTTGAGCATGACTTTCGTCTCGTCCTTGTGCGCGCCCGCGCCTTTGGCCGGCTTCTCCCCCTTGAACAAGGCCCGCCGCGTTCCCCTCGCCACGTCCGCGGCGACCGGCAAGACTTGGGATGCTCGCTTTAGCCACGCCGTGCCCCACGATGCGTCGTACTATGCCAAGTGCATGATTGCCGGTGTGTTGTCGTGCGGTGCGACCCACACGTTCATCACGCCTTTGGATGTGGTCAAGTGCAACATGCAAGTGACCCCCGGCAAGTACTCTGGTCTTGTGCAAGGCTTGAAGTTGGTGGCCGCTGAAGAAGGTACGGCCGCGCTCTTCAAGGGGTGGGCGCCTACCGCGATCGGTTACTCTGCCCAAGGGTTCTGCAAGTTTGGCTTCTATGAAATCTTCAAGGATTTCTACTCCACCCTTGCCGGCGAAGAAAACGCGTACACGTACCGTGGCGCGATCTACCTTGCCGGGTCTGCGTCTGCGGAATTCATCGCCGACGTTGCCCTCTGCCCCATGGAAATGGTCAAGGTGAAGGTCCAAACCTCCCCTGCCGGCTCCTTCCCCACCGCCCTTGGCCCTGCCATCGCCGCCATGAAGGCCAACGCCGCCGAAACCCGTTACCCGTTCGGTTCCGTCGTGCCTTTGTGGTCGCGCCAAATCCCGTACACCATGGCCAAGTTTTTCTTCTTTGAAAAGGTCGTGGAAGCGTTCTACACCAACGTGTTCACCGCACCCAAGGAGTCGTACCCCAAGTCCACCCAGCTCGGAATCACCTTCGCGTCTGGTTACATTGCCGGTGTGATCTGCGCCATCGTGTCGCACCCTGCCGATTCGCTCGTGTCCCTTATGGGCAAGGCCGAAAACAAGGGCAAGGCCATGGGCCAGATCGCCAGCGAAACCGGTATTGTCAACTTGGCGACCAAGGGTTTGGGCACGCGTATCATCATGATCGGTACCCTCACCGGTCTCCAATGGTGGATCTACGACACGTTCAAGTCCGTCATGGGCATGGGAACGTCCGGCGGTGCCCCCCCCAAGAAGTAAACACTCTTGTTGTTTCGGGGATATTTAGACGACACATGTTTGATCTAATATATACTATCACAGCTCCGTGGTTGTTATTCCCAATTGGCTCCTAAACGAGGTAGTGTTAGTTAACCCGCCAGGACGGGAGCAATAGCTTAGGTCAAGTACACAACATTAGACTATTCGATTCATGTGGACGTCGAGGTTTATGGTACTGTATTCACTAGAAGATAGATGGATTCCCCCCAAGACAACCTTTCATACAGGTGACTCACCACAACAATGTGATTGGTTGCCCAATGATCTTCCAATCACTCCGATTGGCCAACAAATCGAACATGTCCCCAAAGGTCACAAAGTTGTAAATCTTGGGCATCGTCATGCAAGCACGGATCGAAAGCTCATTTTCCATTCGGCCATCTGCTGTATACATACATCTTCGTGTGCGTCAATCCAATCCTGTCTTTGTGTACTTGCCAACATGAAACTCTCCAAAGTCGCATTGATTGGCCTCCTATTTGTCGTTGCCCGTGTACAAGCTCAAGACCCCCTTCCTGCATCGAATGACACGCCCGTAGTTCAAATCAACGACATCAACTCGTTTGAAACTACATTAGACAACATCGATAAACCTACGCAAGGTGAAGTTGCTGCGGCGGCTGCTGTGGACGCCGGCGCTACGGAGTACCAAGCGGCCGAAATCGCCGATGCCATCGACAACGAAGGCGCCTCGGCTGCGTCCGCGTCCATCGATGCCGGTTTGACCAACTCGCAAGCTGCCGAAGTGATCACGGAAGTGGTGACTGCGTCCGAAGACATCCCCTCGCAAGGCGAAGTGGCTGCTGACGCCGCCGCGGACGTTGGTGCCACCGATGCCCAAGTCGAAGAAATCAAGGATGCCATCGACAGCGGTGCGTCTGCTGCCTCGGCTGCGTTGGACGCCGGCCTGTCGGACGCCCAAACGGCCGAAGTGATTGACCAAGTGACGACCGCCTCGGACGAAATTGCGGACCCCGCCGACGTGGCCGCGGCGGCTGCCCAAGCGGCCGAAATCGCCGATGCCATCGACAACGAAGGCGCCTCGGCTGCGTCCGCGTCCATCGATGCCGGTTTGACCAACTCGCAAGCTGCCGAAGTGATCACGGAAGTGGTGACTGCGGTCGCTGCGTCAGTGGACGCCGGTGCCTCTCCTTCGGATGCTGCGGCGGACGCTGGTCTGTCATCGTCGGCTGTCGCTGCAGTGGATGATATTGTGGACAAGTCGTCCGTGCTACCTTGCACGACGACCCCAACTCCTACTGCTCGACTTCGAGGTGCCTGTACTAGTTCTAGCTTTGCTGCGTAAAACTTAACATGAAGTACTGGTTACATTTGCAAATACTTGTGGTGTTGTGCTGTTTGATGCAACTGTATTGCTGTGTACGAAGGTGGTTACAGCTTGGGTCTACATGGCGTTGTCGACGATGTGTTTCACAATAGAAATGGTCTAAAGTTGTCGTATCATAGATCTACACTTCGTCTTAGGGGCTTGGAATCGTAGAGGTCAAACCTGGCGACAGTGATGCAGACGCTACATTCATCCATGGACGTGGCAGCATGCATATTATATCAAGTAGGAAAAGAAACCTTAGAGAAACGGAAGGGCCTCCCTCAAAAGTGTCCTTTGGTCACGCGGCGACGCTTGCACGAACGCTCGTCGCCGACTGTCGTGGCTGCGGAATGCATAAATCACACTTGCGTAAGTGTACATCCGAGGGACGACAAGGGACACCCAGAGGTCGGTGGGGGTGCAACTGCACGGGACCGCCGTCGACGTGAGCGGGTACTTGTCGAATGATATTCGCGTGACGTGGATGGAGGTGGTGGGGCCCTTGCATCGTAAACACATTCTTGTAACTAGATAACCTCAAACAGTATCACCTGATGGATGCACTGGACCATGTCGCCTTGGCGCACCCCCAGCATTTTCATGTACACGGCCATCTGAATCACGTCATACAGAGGCACGGGGTGGCGGAATTGACGCATTCTACGGGGTATAAAGTCAGAAGATTAGTTGGACTGTAGATTTGAACCTGTTTTTGACTTCGACGAGGATGAGCTCGGTCGACCACGTGTCGTCGACGTCGTTGATGCTCAGCACGTCTGCGACACCGTCGATCATGCCGCAAATGGAGAAATGCTGCCCTGTGCGATGCTGTGAGCCTCCTTCCCCGACGGACGCGGATGATGTCATCTTGTCGACTTCGACTCGTTCAATGAAATGTTCCAATGCGATGGCTTGACGGCAGCCACAAGATGGGAGATCGCCTGTCGTCAGTGCTTTGGCTTGGATGGGGTGCGGAAAGTAGAGGTAGTATAGCTTGTCATTGGTCGAGTGGACACGCACGCTACAAAACATGTATGAGTATATACACAAGGACAATGATGGTGGATAGATGGGGACAAACCCATGCTGGTTTTCGTATAGCTACACAGTCGCATGAATATAGTGACTCCAGGCATGACTAGTTAACAGAAGAAACGTACTTGAATAGCAAGAGACTCGTTGCGCTTGCCGACACTCTGCCACACCTTGGAGGCCAGGCCTTGATGTAAGGTCTTGGCTTCCGCCGTCGTCAACTTGTTCTTCTTGCATGCTTTGTCGATGACACTTTTGGCATTGTCAGACAGGCCAAGCGCGTGATTCACCTTGGCGGTGGTTCGGGTGTCAGTCGTCCATTGAAGGAGGGTGTTCAGGGCGGAGTCGGCGCCGGATTTGCGGATCAGCGCATCAAGCTCGGCGTCTTTCGTGGTCACTTCCATGTGGAGGACACTAGCATCCAATGCCAAGAGGTCGTCCAAGTCCTGGTACAAGAACTATACGAGACAAATAGGTGGTACGTACGCACACTCGATGAAGACAATGCACGCACCTCGAGAAAGTCTTCCACGGGATCCCCATACTCATGTAGCCCAATGATCGCCGCCACCTTGGAAGCAGGAAAACGCAGCTTTGTGGAGCTAATATCATCTCGCATGCTGGCATACACAGTGTCGAGAGTCTCCGCATCCCAGTCCGCCATCTTGCAGAAGCGGCAGCGCGAGGTGTTGGGAATTCTAGGAAACACGATTGATTGGTCCAATCCTAGCCAATCATAGCCGAAAATTCACTCCAAAAACGAATTAACAGTAAATAAAGCACGTATACAAAACCCAAGAGAATGTTGTCGAATTATTATTATTGCGTGATTCCAACATTTTCATTCGAATGGAGAAATGGGCAATCGGCACGGTCCGCGTCCTAACCGCGGCGATCTGCGTCAAGGTGTATGTCGGCGACGTTTTTCTGGGGATGGGTCCTTCGATGGAACCAACCTTGCCTGATCGAGTGATCTTCCTTGTGGAAAAGCTCTCACTGCGCTGGAGACCAGCCACAGTCGGCGACGTCGTCGTGGTATCGTCGCCTACCCGAGCCAACGGCTCGATGTGCAAACGCATCATCGCTATGGTACAAACGAAGTGTATTCGTCGAACCACCACGAACAACGAACAAATATTGGATCTTAGGAAGGACAGTTCGTCAAGCGTCGGCCCCGCTTTGAAGCCGACGCGGAGGAGATCATCGAGGTAGACAACAGATGCAACCACGTGGACTTCCTTCATGCTGCGATGCATCCTTAGGTACCCAAGGGACACGTATGGCTTGAAGGGGACAACGCTACTGCATCCGTGGACTCGAGGCATTACGGACCGATTCCCGCGGCGCTCATTTTGGGACGCGCTTCGTACAAGGTACCCTCGATCGCCACTACAAAGTCTCCAAACCGTTCTGTGCTAGCTTTGGCCATTGTCGGAATTCGCCCAACGCGTTGATTAAATGGTTTGTATTTTTAACATTGCCGACTCGACCACGTCAGTGCCGCCTTGGGCCCACATACCCACACATCGGATACAATACACTCCATGTGTCATGGCCATCACTTGCACGACATGTGGGTGTTCCACGCTCGGTTGGTACGCCAATTGACCTGCCACGACCATGTTGGTGGTGGGCCTTAGTTGTAGGCCGCCGCCGACGGACGTTACTTGTTCCAGCACGTGGATCTGGACAGACAACAACAAAGGCAGGCGACATGTCGGCTGGTTCCCTCGGTCCCTTGGCATCACATGCACGACGACTTGGAAAAACTCGTGCAGGGGCATCGACGTTAGCATTAACGGACTCGCATGCTGCCCCAACGCCACATGCAACGTCCACGGCACGTCCGTCGGCAGCTCATGACGAGGACAGGCACGGATAGTCGTCGTCGTGGTGTCTGGTGTGGGTATGGCGCCACTGGCCCCCGAAGCCGGCGTGGTCCACTTGAATGGGGTATGTACCAACGACGACGGAAGCAGCATCCGCCGCACGCACAGCGGCGGAACTGGCACATTGGCAGCTAGTTCCCCGTCGACATGGACGTGAAAGAGGACGGACGGCGACGGATTCCACAGCTCCGCCACCCACATGGACGAGATATATCCGTCTTGGCCATCCGAGCCCGCCAGGAATAACGGAGCCAACGCTGTGATGCAAACTGCCGGCTCGCACGTGATGGACACGGTGGCGGCGGTTTCCCGATACAGTTTCTCGTGGGTCAGGGAGTGGCCATACAACGCCCGCAGTTGGATCTCAATGGTACACGCGTGGGCACAGTGCACGGTCACGTCCATGGACACACTTGATTGTCCGTCCAACTAGAGTATGTACATTCACACGATTGTTATGAGTACAGTTAAACACGAAAGGTCGTCCAGGTTAGGATCGACAATAAACACTAGGACTTTTGCTTCGTACGTGATCAAAGCCGGGGGGGAGAGAGCATTCGACGTCGACACCACCAGCCACCGTCACCTTGTGGACACCAGCTGAAGAAGACGACGAGTCGGCAGTGTCGAGGAGAAGCGAGTTCACGAGGACGACGGTGGCCGTGCTGGCCTTGGCATGGGACGGCGGCATGTGGACCACGATCGTCATGTCCATGAACAAATGCGATGCGCACAAGCCCGACGGGTTGATCACGTCGACAGACACGCGGTGGAGTTGGTGTTGGAACATGGACGACGCGGTTGCTGGTGACGCACGGAACGTCAGTGTCGGCAGGGCGGGGACAATCTCCAGCACCACCGGACGCTCCAACTTGTACCTAGGTTGAGAAACACAACGTCATCCATCACACGAGCGCGAGCGACACTACGATGTACGTACGTACCGAAGGGTTTGATGCTTGAGTCGCAAGAGACACCCCAGGACGACCATCGGTCCGATGTGCGTGGGCCGGACGGTGAGCCGGGTAGTTCTGTTGGACTGCCGGGGGGTCAACTGGAGCACTACGGGGGGGCACTGCGCTTTGATCGTCGAGCTGTCGTCCGGATCTCCTTGAGCGACCCACGCCGCCACGTGGGGGAACAGCACGTCGATATCGGTGGGGTTGTGCACCACCATCTCGAGGTCGATCGAAGCGTGCACGGGGTACATGGTATCGTTTTCATCGTCGGTGGTGGTGTTGTTGTTTATGGCATCTCCTTTGGCTTGAAACGGATTGTAGAAAAACGTCGAGGGGTTGGGTGGAGGAGCGGTCGACTTGCGTTGCACTGCTCGGAGCACCGCGTCCAGCCGCCGAAGGCCACTTGTGGTCGTCGCGTGGGCGTTGGACGTTGGCACGGCACGTCGCCCCACTTGAAACCGTTCAATGCGAACGAGACCATTGCGTTTCGTTAACGGCAGGTCGATCCTCGACTTGGTCGATGACGTGTCGTCGTGCAGCAAGCGCCAGCATGCATGTTGCCATTCTTGGACGGGATTTGTCCACTGTGTGGTCGTGTCGGAAGATGGATGCTGCTTGATCGATGGAGTAGTAGTAGCAGTGGAGTCAACTGGTATGTGAGTTGTTGGCTGTGGGGACGACTGGCCAGCAGCGACATCGGACGCGTCAAAGAAAGCCGAGGACGAAGTCGACGTGTTGGAGAGGACGGCGGACATCAACTGCCGGGGGGTGGACAAGAGCAGTTGTCGCGGGGTCGTACTTCCGGACGACGGAGGGGGGGAGGGATTGGTGCCCGTGGTGGATGTGAGAAGGGGCAGGTGTTTGAAGTAACTGGACGACAACAGCGACGACGAATTGCTATGTTGCAACAACATCACAGCTGCCTTCTTCACTTCTTTCTCCATGCTGGGCGGCGGCGTGGCGTACACCGTAGGGGCCGTGTGCAGTCCTCCCCTAGTGAGAGGCGTCTTCAACGCGCCGGTCGTGTCCACCACGTGGATGTGCAAGGTCGCAGAGAACACTGGCTCGTTCCACGCGGCACTCCCTGCGGCGGCGTCACCAGATGCGGTTATGGCAGTGGGATCATGCACGAGCAAATCGAGCAACGCCAACGTGTGCGTGGCCACTTCGTGGGGTCGGTGGAGTTTTCGAGCGAGCCCAATCACGTGTCGAAGCACGTAGAACCGCAGTCGGCTCCACCCCACCACAGCAACAACCGGCCCTCTCTCTTTGTCCGATGCGTTTCCACTGCTTTGTGGGTTGTGTATCGGGGTAGAGAGGCCATGGAGGACTTGTTGGACGAGCACATATGCAGCATGCAGGTCCATTGTCGGCGAAGAGGACGATGATATCATGCGAGATCGACTGCGGAGACACAACAAGGCGCTGGCATCGAGGACGTACAGCAGTTCTTTCCGCGTGTATCCAATGCGCCGGCACTGTCGAGCCACGGCCAACACGTGCTTGATGGACACTTGAGATGACGTGTGGCTGCTCGGGAATGGCTCGGCGTTGCGGACGCCAAGAAGCAGCAGGCGATGGTGGGTCTCGATGCACAGTCGTCGGATCCATTCGGCTTCGTCGGCGCCTACAGACAGAATTCACTCATAAGCATATGGACGTTACGCTGAAGCCATGATGGAGATGTGAAACAGCAGCAACATGGAGATTGTCGTGTGAACATGTACGTTGAAGGGGATGACGGCGGTTGCCGCCTCGACCGCCGACGAGATCGTCGTCGACCAACTCGGTATAATACCATCCCATGGCTGTCACGAGGTTTGCTTCGAGCGCGACGCACCCCACTTTGGCATACCATGCGATGGCTTCGGACGCTTTTTCGATCATTTCCACGTTCAACTTGACACCGTTCCCCCCTACCACGGCCTTGTCACCTCATATGCTTCAAATAGAATATTGTGCTTGTCGCCGAAATTTGCTAATTGTTGAAATACTAGGAAGTCCAGCAAAGCAGTATGATTGGATACAAAGAATCAAGGTGGTAATATGATTGGATAAATAAAGGAAAGAATGGTCCCAAAGATACCTTTTCAACTTAAGATATCATATTTCCCAAGTCTGCGATAACCAACCACCGCCAGAGGAAATTAAAAGTAGAACACACAATATATATATATATATATATCACAAACCATATAGAACACACAATATATATATATATCACAAACCATACAGTTCGTACCTTTCTGCCTCTGCATGGTCAAGTAGAGCGCAGTGACGTAACCTTCCAAGGCGGCACCGAGCCAGAGTCCGTCGGCGGGATTGGTGCCGGACTTTGGCGCGCTTTTCTTTTCATCGTCGCGCAAGCCGTCGATGGCGGTCGTGTAGTAGTCGACCGCGTCCGGCACGCACCCGACCACGAGCGCGTAGTCGGCGACCAGCTTTTCTTGGCGCGATCGATTGGATCGCGGCATTTGCTTGCGACTCACAAGAGTGTGTGTGGTACAAACGTTTCTTTCACTCAAGTCCATTGCCGACGCCGTCGTGGTGACTCCTACACATGACCAGTGGAAATATGAGGGTTTGTGTGTCCAAACTAGGTGTGGGTTTCGTAGGCATCACTTGATTATACACATACTCTCTCTCTCGAACGAGGTATGGGACGGACCTGAAGGCCGTGGAAGCAACGTCGAGTTGCCAGAGCCCGTGCGCAAGGCGGCAGGCGTCGACATACCAGACGAGGTGCCGAGAAACGCAGGGGAGTGGATGGGTGCTGCTGCTGCTGCTGGGTATGGGGACGTGGTGGCAGGAGGGTCCACTTGTGTACTTAGGAGTCCGAATCCGGATTCAGACAGATCCGCAGACGGCACGATGGCGGCCCCGGCTTGCTGCTGGTGCTGTCGTAACACCCCCCGGACTGTGCTTTCCAGCGACATCAAGATGGTGACGGTCATGGCATCGAGCACAACTTGCAAATGCAAACTAACCTAGTTCATCAAGACGGTCAGGATATGGGTGAGGTACGATGGCGACGTACAGTAGTGTGACCGTCGCTGAGCGGGGCCGCCAGCGGAAACATGACAAGGTCGTCCAACGCTGACACATCCTCGAGCGTGCCAGCGCCAAAGGCATGTTCGAACGCATAAACCTTTTGGATGATGGCGCTGGGGTATTTCAAGGCCGCGCGTTTGAAATCGGCGTACGCGTCGCGCAAATCCGCGGTGCTGGGGCAATGACATAGCCCGATCACCCCTAACGGACGGTTCCATGCATGCACTTCGTCGCACGACGCCGATGACAACGTGGACGATGATGATGCCTGCGACAAAGTATCTTCGAAGCGATACACGATGGATGTCGTGCTATCCCATGATAGGGCTCGGAAAGGCGACAACTCGGCACTGTACCCGCCCGGCCTAGTGAGGCTGCTCATAGGGATCACCGCCGACGCCTGCAGCATCCTGATGCCTTCCATGTACATGTGGCGTGGAATGTTGCCGACTGGCATGACATAGACGAGAATTTGGCTGTTCCTTGAAAACCCATGGCTCGTCGCGGTCATCGAAAGGACCGCCGCTGCTACCTATGTGGACTGTCTCGAGATTGAAATCAAATTCGACGATCCATGTTCCGGATAACTAGTGAGGATTGCATCCGGATATTTCGACTAGTAACATGGCGCTGGCGGCAGAATCGACCCTTGGTTCGGCGCTCGAAGCGGTGGACGTGACGCTCAAGGATGATGATGTGCTGTATGCCAAGCATATTCTAGACGCGGAGAAACATCGTGAAAGAGCACAAGCAATGGCTAGAGCAGAACATCAAGCACGAAGCGTCGAGAACGCCTACAAGCGGTCGGTCCACGACGCGATGGTACAATATGAGCGCGAGTGCGCGCAGTTGAAGAAGACCATGGTGGACGACATTCTTGCAGAGCTCAAGCTCTTGCGGGACAACCGCGATGGTGTGAGTTTGGTGCGGAAAGGGTTGGCGCGGTCTGCGCGATCCAGTCGGGCAAATGTGACGTACACCGAAGAGCCAGACATCGACGGTGTGCAGACACTGGCGTCTAGCTCCGCCGCAGAATTCACATCAACCACGCCCACTTCATCGGCCTTCCACGTTACATTGTCATCCACGAGACAAAAGCCACCACCCAAGTCCTTTCGATTGACTGGCGCATTGGATCCGTTCCTTGTCCCGCCGGTGTCTGCCGCCATTGCCCATGACGATATTCAAAGCATCCTCCGAGCTACGTATTCCTCTGCTGCAGAAACTCGCAATGCCCTCCAACAACCTCCCAGAATCCTTCTGCCTACTAGTCTATAAATACTGCAGAACCCTCCCACGCCAGTTAAGGATAATAATACCATCAACTTGTCTGTAAGTTCACCATCTCCAAGCGACAACGACGACGACATGGACAGTAGAGACGCCGCCGCGGTGGACTCTGCCGATGTGGTCATGGCGGCTCCCGCCACTCCCCCTCCAGCCACTTCTTCGTTTTCTTGCACGACTCTGTTCTCGTCCAACTTTGTCCAGCGGGTCCTCTCCGCGTCGGTGCTGGCGCCATCCGTCATCTATTTTATCCTAACTGGTTCCAATACAGCTGTGCTGACTTTGGGCGCCGCTGTCGTGTCGATCTTTTGAGTTCTCGTGGCTGTCGCTTCGTATCCAACACAGCGGCCTGTCCAACTACCTCGCGTACCTCGATGCCCACCCCTTGGACGACCCCATGAGCTTTGCGACAGCGGCGCAGAACACAGCCTTCGCCCGTCCGTTCAACGAATCGCATTGCGCCGTCTCAGCCGTCACCCGTTGTGTGTTCAGCCACACCTCCTCCTCCAATGCTACCACGAAGGTGGCATGTAGGGAGCGGATTGTAGCAGGTACCCTCAGCATCCTGTTTGCCGCCTCGGCTATGGGCGTCGTGTGTGCTCTCATGCTAGCCCAAAGCGTTCACGAACCCATCTTTCTCGTCCATGTCGGGGCCAGCGCCTTGATCGCGGGCGTGTGCGCCGGACTCACCCCCACGTCGTTCGACGCTGCCGTGCTACTCGTGCAGGTCGTGGCGTTCTCCATGGCAGTGCTCAACAGCTGCTTCTGCAGCAGCCGACCCAACACGAACTGCTTCCTGCTTCTGGACTCTGCCACTGCCATGAGTATTGTGTTTGTGCCCATGGCCGTCCTCCGCATGCATCAGCACGCCCACGTCGTGTCCGCCGCCATCTGCCTCGACCTGGTCGGCCTCCTCTACATCCCCATCACGTTTCGCATGCTCATGAGCAAACTCGGGTAAACTCCATCGGGACAAGAGATCGCCATGCGCTACCTCTTTATCGTGTGGGGCTGTGACACTGGCGCGTACGTGACGGGTAAGTTGCTGACCAAGCGTAAGTACAAGTTTAGTCGACGCAGCAAGCTGGCACCGCTCATCTCGCCCAAAAAGGACGTCGAGGGGACCGTGGGCGGCGTGGCGCTGGCCGTGGCTGCGTCGTGTGTCGCCAACGCTGGCTTCGTCGTGGACAGGCAGCGCGTATGGTGATTACATTCATTCCCAGCTCGACTCGGCCACGGCCCACTGGCAGCTCGCAGTGTTTGCACTTGTCGGCGCGTGTTTCTCCACGTAGAACACTGTCGATGATGATAGAGATACAGTTTAAGGTATAAACGTCCCATGCAGAAATGGCGATTTGTTTGCCAGTTTGCTGAAGCGCTTGGCCGGTGTGAAGGACACCGGTCGGCTGATCCCTGGCCATGGTGGTAGGCTCTTGACGTGACCAGGGGAAGGATGCAATTCCTGACGTCACGGTCGATATGTGTAGGCATGCTGGATCGAGTGGACGGGCTTATCTTCATGTCGGACATCTTGGCCATCTTTCACCGCGCATATGTTTCCCTCGCTGTACGAAATCGACAAAAAGTACAAGGTCGCCAACGACATGGTGTTTCTCTCCAACAAAGACCAGCTGTGGCTCTTGGAGGCAATCTCTCGAGGCTTGGCGAAGTCTCCTTAACACATGCACAAGTTGAATGCCTAACTTTATGGAAACATCTTGATCGATTTCGCCTGGGATGATGACGTCGAATATGGCCAATCCGATGCTGCCACGACGAAACTTTCCACACGACTAAGACTCTATGATCTCATACAGATAAAATAAATATTCAATACAAAAGATGTATTGTTAAACTCTAAACAGTATATTAATTTTGAACAGTGGAATAGAATTAGAATGGTTCGGTTATTATTTGTACTAGTTTTAGTATACTTTGTATGCTATCTTATCAAGTGAAGGTGCATACAATTCCAATCATAAGCAATGGAGGACACCCGCAGCAGCCGACCGGCGGCGTCGTCGCAGTTCATCTTGCCGTACACGCACAATCCCTTCGTCTTTCCCTTCAAACCCGCAAACGATGTCGGCAAGGAAGCGCCGACCTTCTTGCCCTTGTATCCTGGCGAGACGTGCGTGTCCAAGGTGATCTTGTCCAGTGCGATTGGTAACAATTCCTCCGATCCCATTCTCTTGGTAGCTAACCACTCACGACGTATGTCTAGGCTACACTCTTGGTGTGGCGATGGGCGCCTTGTTGAGTTCTTACGAAGCCATTGCGCCTCCCATCCCCGTGCCCGGGCAACGCGTGATGCCCAAGGTTCCGTTCCGCGAATCCGTACGGCATGCATGCTGGCTTCCTACCTGCGATCATCTTATCGACTTGTGTCATGTGTAGTTGCAAGCGTCGCGACGGTTGATTTCAGAGAAGAGTTTCTCATGGGGTCGGAATTTCCTCCTCTTTTCAGGTATGTTCCCCAGTCCAATGCCATCCTCCTCACGTGGCCATCTTCCAGCCATGACGTCGGGATTGGAGTGCCTTGTGAGCAAAGGCCGCGGCCGACACGATACCACCAGCGTCGCACTCGCAGGCTGCGCCACCGGCGCGACTCTGGCGATGGGTCAAGGGCCCATGATGCAGTGCGGGTCATGTGTCCTCCTCGCGGCTTTCTCGGCAGGCATGGAGCAGTTCATGCACAACGATTAACCATCATCCCCCATCAATAGTAGTATACACAAACATCCGCTGAATGAATGTACCTACATTCTACTCTTCCCATCTTCGTCATGCCAACACACAATACAGTACACATCCATCGACACTGGAGTTGCATTATCCTGCTGCATACATACATATCTGTCAACGTGGTTCTCGTCCTTGGTCTCATCGCTCTATTTACTTTTGCTTGGCGAAATGTTCGTTGATCCATTCCGACGTGACGGACTTGGGGCGTTCCAACGGCAGGCCCAACGCGCGGTCCCAGAACAGCTGCGACAGCACACCCATGGCGCGCGACACACCAAAGAGCACCGTGTAGTAGTTCTTCTCGGTGAGGCCGTAGTGGTACAGCAGCACGCCGCTGTGCGAGTCGACGTTTGGGTACGGATTCTTGGTCTTGCCGTGTTCAGTCAAGATGCCTGGCATCACTTGGTAGATGGTTTCCACGATCTGGAAGAGCTCGTCGTTGGGCATGTGCTTTAACGCAAACTCGCGCTGGCACGAGTAGCGAGGGTCCGTCTTGCGGAGCACGGCGTGGCCGTAGCCGGGAATGACCTTGCCGGCGTTGAGCGTGTCCCACGCGAACTTGGTGATCGTTTCCTTGTTCACGGGCAAGTTCTTGGACTTGAACTCGTCGTGGAGGTCCATAATCCACCCAAGCACTTCTTGGTTGGCAAGGCCGTGCAACGGACCCGCCAACGCGTTCAAGCCGGCGGCCACTGACAGGTACGGGTCCGAGAGGGTGGATCCAACCAAGTGGGTGGTGTGAGCGCTGGCGTTCCCGCCTTCGTGGTCGCTGTGGATGACCAAATACAACCGCATCAACTCGTCGAAGTCTTGGCTGTCGTGGCCCAACATGCGCGCGAAGTTGGCAGAGTAATCCAACGACGAGTCGTACTTGATGTCCAAGCACTCGTCAAAGTACGTGGAGCGGTAGATGGTGGCGGCGACTTCGGGGATGCGCGCGATCAAGTTGAGCATGTCTTCGTACGTGTGTTCCCAGTACGTGGACTTGTGGATGCCTTCGGCGTACTTCTTTTGGAACACACTTTCGGTGTTCATGGCCATGACGGCGATGGAAAATTGCGTCATGGGGTGGGTGCCCTTGGGCAGGTCGCACAACATTTGCTTGACGTGCGCGGGGATCTTGGAGCGCGAATGCAATTCCTTCGTCAAGCCGTCGACTTGTTCACGGGTGGGGATTTCACCGGTCAAGAGCAACCAGATCAGACCTTCAGGCATGGGTTCACCGCCTTCGATGTACGTGGGCAGCTTCTTCTGCAAGTCCGGGATCGTGTGGCCGCGGAAGCGGATGCCTTCTTCCGAGTCCAACAACGAAGTCTCCCACAACATGCACTTGACATCACGGGCACCACCGATGCATTGATCGACAGTGACGTTGCCCAAGGACTTGTTGCCATGTTCGGCCTTCAACTTCTTCAACGCTTCTTGGCGACGGGGAATTTGTTCCTTCAACACTTCGTACAACGAAGCGGACGACGACGAAAACGCGGCCTTGGACGTGACCGACGTGGTCACTTTCGAGCTGATGACGCGACGAAGGGTAGATGCGAACATGATGTCTACGTATAACAGCAGCACCACATCATGTATTAGTCTCATGCGTGTCCTTCACGGCCGCCTACGCGGTATGTTACTACCTTGCAAAGCTTTTTCCACGAACCGGAAAATCCAAAAGTGTGGTGGTGGCGACGGAAAAACCAGGGGTGGGGGGGAACTACCCTCGACAATCAATGGCGAAAAAAATCTTTTTCCACACAAAGTGTGTTTTATACTCCTTGGGTAATACAAATACCAAGGTAATACAATAAAAAAATGCACAAAACTATTTTTGGACGCTGAATGTCGCAAGCGCCACATCGAATTCGAGAGTCGCGTCGAGGTCCCACGCCCTCCGCATCCGGCCTGTGGGACGTCGACCAGCGCCCGTGCACGAAGCTAAAGAGTGGGCTTATACATGTATTTCTTCTTGGAATTCCTCTCGCCCGCCCGCAGGCTTACACTGTTATACCTTTAGATAGAAATACGGTGATCGTCGCATGAGTTCTGCAAGATACAAGGAAATACCCGTCAACAACGTCACAACACTGCACGGTGATGTCACTAAATCGCAGGGGCAAGGGTTCCGGATAAACAGGACTATCCGGACCAGTATATTTCGAAGTACCTCCCACAATGGATACATTCGATAAAACCTGTACGAATAAATAACGTTGCGTTTTACCTGGTTCCAAATGGGAATGCTATGGGTTAAAAGCCCTTAAGGGTAAAAGCATGTTTGTTTAACGCAATTGTCGGGGGATCTTGCCACTTTAGAGTTGTTGCTTCGCCCGCCGATGAAGCTACGTGGGCTGCAGATGCTGCCAGCCAGTGCGGCGATGGTGATAGCCCTATTAGGGCTGCTTGAGCATGGAAGTGGCGTGGAAGCAGGCGCGGTCACGACCGGCGTGCCACAGAACCCGACGGTTCCTGGTGGGGAATGCGTGCGCATGTTCCATTCCAAGGGCGACGTCGGGTGCTTTAGCTTGGACAAGGACGGGAGCCGCGCGCGCCTTGTCAGTGTCACATCAGCGGACGCGTTCCATCACGACAAGTTGAAGGAGAACAGCATCGTCCTCTTGCCCGACTCACTGTTCTCGACGGAGAACGTGGCCAAGTTGAACGGCGCGTTCATCAAGGGCTTGCTCGTGTACCCGACGTCCTCGTCATCTACCTCGTTCAACTACGAGTCCACGCACCCCCAGGGGAAAGGCACGGTGGATGGCGGGCTCAACCCTGTCTTTGGCGAGTACGCTTGGAACCCATCCGGGCGTGGTGTCATGTCGGCGAGCTTGCCGTACCCGGTGGTCGAAGTCGCGAGCGAAGCTAAGGCCGCGGAATTCCTCGAACTCGCGCGTAAGAACGAACGTGCGCCCGTCGAGTCGACGTTTGGCGTCGTGTACCGAGGTGCGATGGCGTACTACTTTGGGCCGGCCAAGATGGATTCGATCTCGTGTTTGAGCTTCAAAAATATCTACGGCAACCGCAGCCCCAAGTGCCTGCCCGTAGGTGGCCAGAGTTCATGGGGTGTGAAAGGCGACTTGAGCGTGTCCAAGCCGGTGGTCATCGCGATGGCGTCGATGGACACGAACGCGTTCTCCCACGTGTACGCGCCTGGCGCGAACGCCGGCGCGTCCGGCCTCGTGGCGCTGCTGGCGGCTGCGGACGCCCTCAAGACCATTCCGAGCTCGGCACTCAAGAAACACATTGTGTTTGCCGCGTTCCAAGGCGAGTCGTACGGGTTTGTAGGCTCTCGACGGTTCCTCTCGGACATACAACAAGCCAAACAAACGCCCAAGGGCTGCGCCGCCCCGATTTTGGCGTCGACGCCGTTCGGAACATCCCATTGCGCCAGCCCCATCCGCTCAAGTCTCGCCTTTGCCGATCTGTCGCTGGACGCCATTGACATCGCCATCCAAGTCGATCAAGTCGCGGTGGCGGACAAGGGGTTCTTTATACACCCAAACAACCCCAAGACCAGCTCGTCCGAGTCCCTCGTGGATGCCCTAGTCAACGCGCCGTCGGCCAAAGGTCGCGTGCAGCCGTCGACGGCCGCGTCCGCCGTGCCCCCGGGCCCCCTCGTTTCGTTTTTGAACGACCGCGAGTTCGGCAATGCATCGCTCGTGTCGGCGGTGCTGTCTGGCTACGACGCGTCATTTCCGGACAATTACCACAGCCGATGGGACACCAACACCTCGGACACCGCCGCCGCCGCCAACATTGCCCAAGCCGCGCAGGTGCTGGCGGAAGCGTTGTTCGCGTCGTCGGCCGCCGTGCCCGGCTCGGAACTCCTCGCATCCATCGCCGTCAACGCCACGCTCGTGAGCTCGTTGTGGACGTGCATCAGAACGCAGTGGAACTGCCCACTGCTGCAAGCGTACTCCAAGCCGGCGGTGGCGACCATGAACGAGTATCTGTCGTTTACGCCGGCGTCGGCCCCGTCGTTTGTCGAGCCTGTAACACTGTATACGAGCGTGTACTCGGACAACCGGATGCCGACGATCCGGCTCAACAAGTCGTATGTTGTCGCAGATTTGGCCGACACCAAGTGGGACGACGCGTTCAAAGTCAACTTGTATCCGAACGCGTACGAGACGTTCACTAGGGCGTTCCTGGCGTCGGCACTGCGAGATGTGGACCCGCAAGCCAAACCATGCGTTTCGAACAAAGACTGCACTGATAACGAGTGTGTGTACCCCGGCGTGTGCACAGCGCGCCGCGCCTACTTTCACGATGCGCTGTCACCCGGCCTCAAGCGCGAACCGACGGTCGGCTTGTACGAAGTCCTGGACAAGAGCATGCCGCTGTGGACGGAACCGAATTGGGTCACGCTCGGCACGTTTGTCTACCCCGACCCGGGCACCACCATCGGGTATGTCACAATTGGCGTCGGCGTCGTGTCGGCGGCCGTGGGGTATGTGCTGGCCAGTCGCTTCGTCGCTCATTTCCGCAAGCAAAAGCTGCTATAAGAGTATAATGCAGGGGAGATCCTTCAGTGGATTGATACTAGTACAAGTGAAGAATAAGTATAACCGTTGATAGCCACCATAATAGCCGATCAGTGCAGAATGAATGGCTATGGGGTGTGTATCCAGAAGAGGGGACATGTCGGAGTTTTTCACTTGGGATATCATGCTCGCATGGACATTTGTCTGGACAAAGCGTCGCGGAACTTAACGGACGTGTTTAGTTGACTTGTAGGATGATTTCCAATGCGAAAGGAATGGTGGTGCATACGTCAGGTCCGTTGAATGCGCAGAGAGCCCTCCTGGAGGTTCATGTACAGTACAGT